AAGTGAGAAAAGAGAAATCTGAAAAAGAAATTTGCATCATGTCGCCTGGACAGCAAAAAAATATCCAAATTACTTGATTGGGATGGCTGAATAGAACTACATACCTTAACGAACATAGAATACTGTCGTTAAACCACCCTTTCTTTTAATGATTGATGATTCCGTGTCTTTTTCACCTTTCCATTTGTCAATACTAACTTAAATCTTCGTCCCACACACTAAGGCCATTCTTGACCATTCTTTCCGTTCACGTGATAGATCCTTAATCTGTTGCCGAATTTCTAACCATATTCTGAGTTTTACCAAGTCTAATGATAATTTCTTGAATGTAACAGCTAATTTCACCTTGGCTGACTCAGCTATGGTTTCCTAACCATCATTATTAGAGGTTTTTTGTTCTTTAAATGAGTAAGAAGCTCTGTAGTGCCTAGCGACTCCTTTGGAGGATTAAAGACCTATTACTAGGGCGCAAAACGGACCATTAACGTGCTGAAAAGATGGATGCTACCGGCGTGGCCCCAGGGCCCTACCATTTTGCGAATCTACAAAAGCCGACCATTCAGTGTGAAGGAAACTAAAACGATGATCAATGCACTAAGATACTGAGCAAAGTTAGGTTATTTTAATATGAGGAGATAAATAAATATTGCGTTGTTTGAGAAATATGAAGAGGAATCACTGCTTGATCAAGCAAGAATTGAATGCGTTGTGACTTGCAGGGTCATAACCAAGGGCCCTGTAATGGCTGGCCTAATTCCTACTGCAAATCCTTTCAACTTTCGAGAGGAATACAAGCTGGACTTACCGGAGGTTGGTTACCAAGTGGTCGTTTGCCTTAACGCCTAATGCAAACTTGTATGCCCGAAAGTACCATCAATTTGATGCTTTATTGATGCCGATGCATCCACACCAGTTTCATGTGTGTACTCATCTGAACCACTGATAATGCTCAGCCTCACGAAGCAGCGAAGTGACCTCCGACCCTTCATTCTGCTAATAAGAAATGTGACGCGGGTATTTATTTTATTTTAGGCAAGAAGAGTCAGCGACCACTACCCCGTCGAATTTGACATTCATTGAATTGCTGTGACGCCTGCGATACTACGTATTATTTCCACACGCACACTGATTTCCATGCTTTGTTTTGATGAACACACAGCATACCAGCCATCAAAGTCTATTCGCAACATTTTTTTCGTCTTCTTTAAATTATTTACTTTTTGTCACGGTTATATCGTCTTCCTGCTCTCCTGAATGGGATTCTTTATCTTGAAATGCGAGAAAAATAGCT